AAGGATTCTCCACTGCAGCCATGTTGTCAAGATCTTTCACAGCCGTTGCTGTGTCAGGAGGAGGCAAAGGAGGATACTCTGCTGCATCCCCATTCACTGGATCTGTGGCAGCCGCTGCTGTGCCAGGAGGAGGCAAAGGAGGATACTCCGCTGCAGCCGTGTTGTCAGCATCACTGCGAGCCGCTACATTGTCAGGAAGAGGTGGAGGTTCTGGCATTGCAACCTGAGTTGTGGTTGGCACGGGTTGGCCATAGATTTCAAATTTGAGGGGCGGTCAGAACTCCTTATTCTTCTTCAACCAAAAAATCGACGTCGTCGGTTTTGGATTGGACCTTATCGTTTTATATTCGTTTGAGTTATGATCATATACAGCGCTGCGGTTATCGGCTTTGAGATGGACCTTATGGTTTTGCTGGATTTTGTACGCAAACATGCTCAAACCTACCCCTCTTTACTAAGTGGTCTTCGCATGTTTTAAAATCTTTTGACCATAGCTCAAATGATTTTGAAGAAGATCAAAAGGGATACCGAAAGAATTCGAAAGATTGCAGATCAAGTGCCGCAAGCACAGCCTTACAGCGGCCACCCCCATGCGGCCCCTATGTTCTTTCTTCAACTCTTGGTGCACAGACGCGCAGATCATGCGCAGATCTGACGGGAAGTCAAGGCAAGACAAGGCAGGTCAAGGCAGCCATGAGCGGGCCACAGTCCCACATCTGGCCAAAAGCAACACAGCTACCATCAGCTACCTGTCTCAAGAAGCCATCCGCAGCCTCATAGAGGACCCACACAGCTTCGCAACGAATTGTCCCAAACATCCCCTATCCAAGGTTGTCCAAGGTCGGCACATCTTGGAAAGACATATACAAACATTTGATTTTTGGATATTTTTGGTAATCCTGAGAGATCTTTGTAGCTCTCAGACATTCAGAAACTAGACTTTGCCAGCAAATAGAAACAAGAACATCTGAGGCTTAGCTCCCAGATGCTCTCAGCGTCGCTTCCCAGGCTTTGCAAAGGGCGGTGCAGAACCATGGGGTGTACGCTGCACTGGATGCAAGGTCACGGCCTCCACACCACCCCACGGTTCCGTCTGCCTTGGTTTGCTTCAGGTGATACACCTTCGCAACCTTCCGTCTGGCATTGCGACGCTGCAAGCGAGCCTCAGCTGGGAGACCATCTCGATTTGTACAATTAAATGTTCCAGCGTTCAGAAATGTTGAACCATGTTCAGCATGTCTTCAAATTTCGTCGACGGTGCTCATTGTCCAGCCAAGATTGTTTGAACCTGAGACGGTCCTTCTTTTTCATTGTCCGTCTCAAGGATTCAGTGGTCCTAGCTAGCTACGGGCAGATCAGGGTCGAACCTACAGGAAAATGACAATCCAAACAAACCTTTGGACACCTCTCTGAGGCTTGGGCTCCATGTTCGTGAGAAGATGCGTCGGTTTATGCAAGTCAGATCCAAAGAAGGCCAACCATGTGAGCACCACAAACCTTGAGACTTGATACGCACGTGTACACACCATGCCTGTGAAAAAGCATAAGATCGCATCACTCGATTCCAATCGTATAAATTCAACAAGCAATTTCAATTCAGAATCATATCTAACTCATTCCAAGTCACATTGCTGCACTTGACACCAAGTCTTTCATATACGTTTGTTTGAATGCCCATGATTGAGCCGGCTGTTCGATTATGAAATGGACCCGGCGGTTCACGCGGACCAGAACTTTGCAAAGAGTGGCCTCAGCATGTGCCAGCCAGTGTCGCGCTGGGATACCCAAAGTCCCAAGGTTAGACCACTGAAATGAATCCAAGCACATCCAAAAACACAAAAAGAAAAAGAAACGGGCGGATAGCAAAGGTGCAAAATTCTCCCAGATCCTGTTGGACAGACGGACCTTGAAATTGCTTTCATCACCGCGTAGGTTGTCCGCTGCCCTCTTGTGCACACTCACACAGGCATTGACCATGAGGCTGCAAGGCGGCCCAGCAACCAAAGCTGCGCCATCTTTGAGCCTGTCATGTGGCATCATGTGGCCACGGCAAGGTGGATCCCCAAAGGATGCCAAAACTATTCCCCACATTAAACATATACAGAAGGTTGCAAAAAGAATGAGCAACACATCAAAACAAAATTTCAGTGGATCCACCTCAGGGACATCTCCAGCAGGGTGTATGCCCCAGAACGGCTCACAAGATCATGAGCTGGGTTCAACACCAAGTCGTATGCAATGCCCTTGTAACCGCGTTTAGTCCAGGCTGTCCTCAACCCAAAGACTGCTGACAACTTTGCGCTGAATGACAACTGTTTCGCTGGCTGTTGCCAAGGCTCATGATGTTCTGGGAAGCTCCAAAGCAATCCAGGACATCGATGTCTCGAACTGGTGCAAAACATTCTGCGAAATTGACCAACTCTTCCATATGGTCCTCTGCTGCATACCACCTGGCAGCGAGGCCCTCATTGTCACCTGTTCACCTGGGGTCCCTCACGCCGTAAGGCGTCGAGCTTTGAGGGTATTGATTTTGTAATCTCGGTTTTGTCTAAATATCTTGGGCTCCCTGATTCTGTAATGAAATTGCTTGAGAATAGATGCAGTACATACAATGTGACTCACAATTCATTGCTGAGGGGCATTGCTTCCAGAGTGCAGCAGGCTGTGTCATCTTGCTTAGGCATGCCCCAAGCTGGAATTAGTATCAGGGCTGCCAAAGCTGCGACGCAAACTCTGGCACACATGGTCATGGTCAACGAAGAATGTAAAACAAACAGCTGCGCTCAGAGCAATACCAAATGGCTGCAGGCAAACCAAAGAAGTGGTAGTCTCACACAACATGGTTCTGGATCCTGGCCTCCTGGTGAATCACCCATGCTGCCATGGAGCCTTGAGTTCCGGCACATCCTTGCTGATTGCAGTGGACCACTTCCATGATCGTGTCTTCCTGGCAAACTCGTTGTGACAGGTGCCACTCGTAAAAACTCCAAACATAGATCCAAACTGGCCCCAAAAACCCAAATATATCCACATATATCCACATCATATCACATCATGCGAAAATATTCATTTCCAAATCAATCCAAGGCTCACATCGAACCAGGTTTGGTGATGAGAAACTCGCCGACGCGGATGTAGGATCTCCAAATTGCATCTTGCAACTCAGCTGTGCAGGTTGTGTAACAGCAGAAGCCCTTTCATTCTGTTCACGTCGTTTCATACCCGTGAAAACCGCGAAAATATTTCAACTCACCAAAAAAAACAAATCAAAATCTGGAGGATCTGATTCTGGTCAAAATGCTCCAAATTCCGCGGCGTGAGTTCCACGATGGCGGATCCACAGTCTCGGCGCACGTTCCAATACCCTGGGACATCCAAGCCATTTGGTGAATGAAAAATATTTAGACCAAATGGTGCCGCATCTCAGAACATGTTCTAGATATTTATAGATTGTTCTAGCGATTTCTAGCGCAAGTCCGAAACGTTCCTTTATATGCAAACAATCTAGAAATATTGTTTGGTTTAGAACAAATATACTGCTGGCAAAGTACACACACGCCAGGACAACCCGCGGGAACGCTTGCCATGGCTTTGTGTGGAGGTGAGTTGCTTTGTGAGTGAATGTGGGTCAACACTGACGGGCAAAAATATTAACACCATGTGACGATCTGTGACGCCTGTTGTCACTTGCATATCAATTCTCAACAGTTCCATATAGGTTCCAACAGAAACGAAAAGGACTCGCGCCCCTCGCGAGTGTCCTGTTCCTTTGGTCGCAACCGTTCAAGCACCCTTTGAGCACCTTTGAGCATGAGCCAGTGCCTCCCAATTCACTGGTTCAAACATCAACTCAGCAGCGAGAATCAACGAGGCTCTTGGGATGCCTGGTGTGCGTGTGTGTGTGTGTGTGTTCTAATATATCCTATGAATTCCTATGATATATCATGAAAATTTTTGCGAATTATTAAGAATTTATAAGACATTATAAGACCATGTTCTACAGCAGCTCAGCCCACTACAAAATCAACTGTCCATGCTTTACAGCAGGTCAATCGATTACAGAATCGACTGTCCATGACAACCACCCCACCCTCAAACTTGCATAGAATCAAGGACCCCACCCTCACCAGTGCGGCACTTTTGACATCCATACCAGCATATCGATTCCTCACAGAACCAACAGCCCCGAGAAAGAATGCTGCCCTTACAAAATCAACCTCCCCACACCTACAAAAACGGGTACCTGGAAACAAACTTCTTTCTTTACAATATCGAAGCTCTTTTTGTTACCCAGGGAGGTTGATTTTTTAAAGGAAATTTCAAAGGGTATTATATATATATATATGGCTGGCCCATCACTCAAGAATGGGCTGCCCATGGCTGGAGCCCTGTTACACGGACGACATGCAGAAGTCTACCTGGGTCGATTTGTTCCACCATCACCTTCCCATGCCTGCTCGGTTTTCTGTCTAGATCTAGTCCACCTGTTCTGCTACTTACCAAATTCCATGATTGGAGTCTATTGCACAACAGCATTTCGTCCTCAAACAAGTCCCACCCATCAGCTAGACAGAACAAAAATAAACTGACCAGTGAGGATGGCGGACGAGAAGATAGGTCATTCAATCGGTTGCACCGTTTGCGTGAATGAGCTGGTAGACTAGACGGCTAGAAATGTTTCTAAATATGGAAGGTGGAACCAAACGCGGAAAGCCCGCTTTTGTGTCTTTGTGCATGGGTGATGTGTGCGTGTGTGTCTGCTTCCATTAGGAACTGTCCAAGGGTCCAGGTCCAACTGCCCTTGTTGAAGCTCGAACACTCCAAATCGTTTGTGAATAGCGGGCTCACGTGATTGCAGCTTCAACAAGTGCACAAACTCCTAGCACCTTCCCCATTTTAAAATGCAGGTACGGGGTTTTCACTGGAGTGCGCCCGAGTCTTCTGCCAATCAAACCCTGGCCTTGGCCCTTGGAAAAAACAATGAGAAACAGCCACGGCACACTGCGGCATGGAAGAGGTCGGGGTAGAGCAGCCGCGCCCAGGCACTCAAAGCACCAGAGTAGGAACCGCCGAAGGTCACCCAGGTCTGGAGATCGCTCGTGAGGGGAAGGTCAGGTGTTGTACTTGGGCATCGTGGGTCTGGACTCTGGACCAGAGGATTTTAACAACCAAAGATCCAGGTCGAAGGAGACATTGAGCCCCATATCTTGGAGGTGGTGAAGTTGGTCGAGAAGGTTTTGTGGAAAACACCGGGCATTTGTTGCAACTTGACTCTTTGCCAGGTTCCCTACTTCTGTTTGCAGGAATTCTACAGCTGTGAATAGGGCAGGCCGGCCTCCAAATAGTTTGGTTAGGCATGCTGGACCAAACAAACTACAATGACACAATGGTTTAGGGTGGACCAAACTACAAAGCGGCCATGTTTCATCATGCATTTTGTTCATTTCGATATATAGTCAGTTTAAATCTGCACGTTTGGGAAACTACGTAACCATCACCCAAACTGGATCCCTATCCAACAAACCAAGACCACCAGGATCACCACCGCAAAACCCATGCACGTTCAGCCGTTGCTCTTGATTACGGCCACGCATTCCGCGCGTCGAATGCGTTCGCCGGGTACGGCCGCCATGGCGCAGCAGTCTGGAGATCCAAGACCTCTGCGGCGTAGACTCGAAAGGCCTTGGTAAACGCGACGTAGATGAAGGGGGTTGTCGACGGTGGTTGGCGAAGTCCAAGCAAACATCCAAAAAAGGGTCCTGGTAGATGTTGGAGAGACTCAACAAAAGCAATGTTTCAGAGACATTTGTATCTTTGTATCTACGTTCTTAAGGTGCTTCAATGATTCTCTAGCTGGACCACTTCCACTCACAACGAATGACAGTTGGGGTTTAGACCAGACTGAAGCCTGGCGCAACTGAGTTGACAGGGAGGACGACCTCTTTGCCGTGGCCCTCAGGAAACGCCCCAGGCAACACCGTCCGGACCTTCCAAATCCCATGTTTGGAGGTGATGCATCTGGGCCTGGAGCGAAAATCGGGAATCTCAGGAAACAAATCAACAGGCCACAGGTCAAGATATGATCCAGTTCTGGTCCAATCCTCGCAGTTTTTTCCCACCCGTCAAGTGAGGGCTGATAGATCATGGCAGTGTTCCCTGCTGGACCTCAACCGCCAGCTCTGGATGGCAGTGTCCCCCGCCGGACCTCAACCGCCAGCTCCGGATAGCAGTGTTCCCCGCCAGTCCTCAACCGCAAGTCAGAAGATATGCCAGATAGAATGCCAGAATGAATGTCAGAAAGAATGCCAGAAGATATGCCAGAAAAAGCATGTCAGAAAGAATGTCAAAAGGTGTGCCAAAAAACACATGTCAGAAAGAAGGTCAGAAGATATGCCATAACAAAAAACATGTCAGAAATAATGTCAGAAGATATGCCATAACAAAACAAAACATGTCAGAAAGAATGTGAGAAGATATGCCATAAAAACAAATGCCGAAATAATGTTTCAATCCATGCCAGAAAGTTTGTCAGATTGAAATGTCATGGTGGGGATCACTCGAAGTAAAGTAATTTGTGCTCCCCGGGATCTTTCACCTACTCGCGCCGTGACGCCATCAACACCATCCACATGCCGTGCGCTTGCATGTTTTTGTTGTTTTAGGGTTGGAGTATTACTGTCACATACGATAACAATTCGTCTCTCCAGACTCCCTTCCTGCTTTGCCCGCCCCATCCCGTTCCATCGGGTTCCATCGAGGCACCGCCACATCTTCCAGGGCCTGGCGACTGCTGAGGAAGTGGAGCCCCTCCAGGTCGAACTTGGGCACTGCATCGAAGTCATACCCGCCGTAGTGGCGATGCTCCAAACACAGCAGCAGGGCATTGAAGCGAGGCGCCTGGAAGAGACGCGGGTCGCGCAGGTCGCGCGGGTTTGTTGCGCGGGTTGGTTGCGGTGCGAAGGGTGTAAAGTGTGAAGGCGGTGGAGGAGGTTGGAGACATTTACAAGACACCAGCTGCTTGGGACTGGCATATTGCACGATCCAAAGGGGTCAATGCACCATATCAAACCGTCATGAATCGTCCCTGAAGAGATCACTTCAATTAAATTAGAGACTCCAAAAGAGGTCAAGTACTGAAGGTCCTGGTGCATGAAGTGATAGTAGTGCAACTCTCTGCTTTGGGGGGGACCTCAGGGTCTCAAACACTCCATGGCACTGGCATCTTGGGGTGGTTGATTTCAGGGGTCAATGGGGATAACATATATGTTCCCATCGTCACCGGGGTAGCTTCGGCAACCCGTGGTCGAACCCGTGGTGTCTTGGGAGGGTGAGCCAAATCGAAGCCTCACCCATTGACACTCCCTCCCTGGTCCGTTTAGCTGGAGCTCAGCACGACAGGAGGTCCCATCCAAAGTACAACATGGACCCTGAATACCATTGGGTTGGTAGGTAGAAAACCCCTATCTTCCAAGGGGTCAGGACGTGAGGGTCTATTTGAGTTGACTCGGAAGTGTACACCCTGCAAGGTACAACCACATGGAACCTGAAAACCCAAGACACAAACAACGGAAGATGCACCGAGAAAAGGAGTCAGCGAGAGACGTCGAGTCAGCGAGAGACGGATGCGATCCGTTGAGTTCGAGGCAGAATCCACCGCAGATTTCCCGCAAGTCATCCAACCACAGGGGATTGGCGTTTTGTTGCAAAACTGTTTCATTGCATTTTACGACACTCCCGCAGTGTGGTGCAAAACAAGAGAGATCATCACACTGGGTGGTTTCCAGCCAGCTGGGAAAAGGAAAAGGACAACAAAACCTATGTAAAAAAACACACCACAGCACATCGCTATCGCTAGCTCGCTTGGTGCGGCTGCCGTTCGGCCACCTGCTGCTCTGCCAAGGGGCTAGCTGCACCATGTTGTTGCAAGTCTGCAAGTGTGGCCATCCACTAGTCCCCCAGGGCCGGTCCTCCCCGCCCACGCACAAGAAGACCACACTGCGTTCACCGCGCTGATAGAAGCCTCAGGTTCTGGCCCAATTGGTCAAGGTGCGGAACAGAATGTGACGAAAGACATGCAACAACATCTGAAAAACATCCTCAAAAACAGGGGAAGGAAGGCAACAATTGGTGCAGAGAGGTCAAAATCGATCTGTCTTTCAGATGTCGCTCTCTAGTGAGTTTAGGAGGCAGCCATGGAGTGGCCTCAGCGACATTGACATACACAGCAGCGAAATTGGAGTTCGCTCCGTCCGCGTCATGTTTTTGTTCCCCGGGTCGCTGTCGTCCACAGCGAAGCGTTGACACCAGGTCTTCTGGTTGGTCTTGTTGAAGTGATCGAGCCGCTGTTGGCAGAAGGATTGGAGGCTCCTGGGCGAGGTTTTCGGTGCGGTGGAAGGGCGCAGGTCGGTCTTCAACGTGGAGAGTGGGCCGACCACCTGGAGAGGGGTCGGCGGCTCCGGGAAGAAAGGGTTCAAGCCTCTTCCCCAGGAACCGGGCAGATCCACATGACCCAATATCATAGTCTCATATACTGTATAAACACTCAAAATGCAACGAGAGAAGAGACCCACTAGACTAGGATGCCTCAAATCCGGCTGATGGAATTCCCCCGCTCAATAGCAAAAACATCTCTGCAAAACAAAACACCTACACCTCATGGCACTATCCCTTATCCCTGTCATTGGATGTCATTGACTAAGCTTGTGTATCTCCTGCCAGTGAATTGTGATTGAATGGATCAAGAAGATTGGATGTGGATGTGGATATGGATGTTTCCTGGTGACAACAGGTGCCCAGAAACCACCTGTTAGTGTCCCAAAACAGCCTGGCCAGGAGGGTCCTGGGATATGGATATGGATGATGATGATGATGATGATGATGATGATGATGATGATGATGATGAT